TTACCAAAATTAAATCAAGAACAGATAAACAATTTAAACATATCTATATTCCCTAAAGAAATAGAAGCTGCCATAAAAAGTCTTCCAACCAAGAAAATTCCAGGACCAGATGGATTCAGTGGTAAATTCTACCAAAAATTCAAGGAAGAGCTAATAGCAATACTCTTCAAGTTGTTCCCCACAATAGAAGCAGAAGGAATACTGTCAAATTCTTGTTATGAGTCTACAATTACATTAGTAGACAAACCACACAAAGATACAACCAAGATAGGGAACTACAGACCAATCTCCCTCAAGAACATTGATGCAAAAATACTCAGTAAAATACTTTCAAATCGAATCCAAGAACACATCAGAAAATTCATACACTATGATAAATAAGCTTCATCCCAGGGATGCATGTATGGTTCAACCTATGAAAATCCGTCAATGTAATCCACCATATAAACAATCTGAAAAAGGAAAACCACATGATCATCTCAATAGATGATGAAAAGGCCTTTAACAAATTGGTGAAGTGGTGTGCACAGCTAAGGCCATTGAAAAGTTTCCTGTGCCATTCAAAGAGGCAGAACAGGCTAGATTCCCTTTAATCTCTGTCGTCTCCTGAGCGCGTGATGTTCTCTCAGTGCACACCAGGTGGCAGTAGAGCACTATGTCTCAGATGGAGGAGCTAGAGGAGAGGAAGGTCTTGCTCTGGGTTCCTGGTAGGTTACCTGACTACCTACTTCTGTGTGAAGGGACTTCCTTTGCCTACTGAGCTAGGTTGTTGGACCCAGCTGGGCAATTAGAGTATAGTGGAACTGTTGGCAAAGCCTGGACTTAGTGTGTCTTTGATTCTCTGGGTCTGCTTTCTCCATCTGTTAAGTGAAATGATGTCTCCAATGGTCTAAGTGCATCGCTGGTTTACATGAAACCCTCCCTTCCTAGGATCAGAACACTTTCTTTTTCAGTAAATACTAGACAAATCTATATTTTATAAGGATTCACAGATGCTACTGCAAGACGTGGGAAAGAAAAATAACCTGAATATTTTGCATTATTCCTGGATCAAAGAGGCAAGCAAGAAGTGGTGTGTTCATGTTGTGTGAAACAGCAAAAATTGTCCTGGAAACAATAGCTTTTCCTTCATCATGGTTCCCCTCTATACATTGGCCCATGTTGTAGAACTGAGTATTTGGTTTCAGGGTTGTTCTCTCAAAGTGTCCTACCCCCACACTTTCCCTCACCAATTTGTGATATTTAGGTATAAACATATTCGATATACTCTAACGATGGTTTGAAAACAAGAGTGATTCTTTATTATCTGTCACATAGTGTTAGAGCTAGAAATTGAAGAGAGCTCTGAACTTCTTACAGTTCTGGCTAGAAATGATGCTTGTGACATGTTTATATTTGGGTATTTGGCATCGTTCTTAATGCAGCTAACATGTATACTTCATTCTGTGATCCTATAATGACACAAACATCTTGGTAAGCATCAAGATAATCTCTGGAATCAATATTAAATGGGTTAGCATGTGAAATTGGCATTGCAGGTCAAGCCTAGTCACTGTTTACTAGGAACTCAATATCCAATGATATGACCATAGAAGATTGCCCCATTTGGTTTATGTAGAAAAGAATAATATTCTACACAATTTGCCTGTATCTTTTTATTAATGCTAAATAAATGTTAACATAGAAAACAATGCTAGGTTATTACAACAGTGAAATATTTATTAGTATGTATCACTTTATAATACAATGTTTAGATGTAGAACTGTGTTCTAAATAATAAAATTCCAACACACACACACACACACACACACACACACACATACATATATATATATATATATATATATATATATATGATCCAGGGATAAGACCTAATATTTGATCTTTATTTCTTCAAAGAGTGGCTGGAACGCTAACTCAATAATTGAAAGTGCCCCCTGCTCTTCAGAAGGCCATGGTTCAAACCACAGCACTTACATTGTGTGGCTTAAAACTGCCTGTAATTCCAGCTCTATGGTGTTTGACATGCTTGCCAGGCTTCCACAGAAGCCTACATACAAGCACACACAGAACTAGTAAATACACAGACACACAAATAATAAACCACAAAACTGTTAATCACTATTCCATTTCCTGTATTAACATTAACTGTTAATCACTATTCCATTTCCTGTAAGTCATAAAAAGTCAGTCCTTTCATGCAATGATTTTACATTTTAATAATGGAAAGAAACAGTTCTCAACTGGTGTGCCAAAACCTCAAAGCATATCTTCTATCTTGCTTATTAGATACTTGCATTACAATTCATAGCAGTAGGAAAATTGCAGTTATCAAAAAGCAGCGAAATAATTTTATTATTGGTGGCATCACCAAAACATGCATTGCATTAGATAGTTGCAGTATTACAGAACTCACGAACCACTGAATAATTAGATTATCGTTTCCTTTTAAGAAAACATTTAATTCAAGGAGATATGTGTGCCAGGTGTGTCAAAGGGCATCAGATCTCCTGGCACTGTAGTTATAGGAATTGGACATGCGTCCCCAGCTGGAGCAATTAATACTCTTAATATCTGAGCTTTTTCTCCAGTCCTCATACAATTTTTAAGTACTAGAAATAAAATAACTTCTAGTTGATTTGGGCTTTTGTAATAGAAATACCTGACTTTTCCCCACCCTAATAATTCAACTTCAACTTAAGTGATACAATTAATGTAGTGCAGACTTCTTTCTGAAGCTAATGGAATCCCTACCCTTTAATTTTCTTTTAAATTTTTAGTATGAGTGCTCATGAGTAATGTTTCCTGTGGAGGACAGCAGAGGGCACTAGAACCCTTGGAGATGGAGATACAGGCAGCTATGAGGACCTGGTGTAGGTGCAGGCTAACCTCCATCTTCTGCAACAGCCATGATGCTCTCTAATGCTGTCCTGCTGCTATAGCCCTGCCAGTTTTGAGTTCTGCCTAGAAAAGTTTTGACAATTTCTGTATCTCTTCTAACTATAGAGGTAAAGCTCAGGCAAACATATTTTTCTCTGCCAACATCCTTCAATATCATTTAAGTTCAACATTATAGTTATTTATAAGTGGTGATAAATTGTAGTTTTAGTATGAATACCTTTCTAGAATTTCAGGTTTGTAAACTAGGTACAGATATGTCTACTCTAGACTCTATCAAGTTATTTAAATACTTATTTTGGTCTGAATTTTTTCTGTGGGGCAACTTAAAATTATGGTATTCTTGTCTTCATTTCATTGCTGTGAGAATTTGTAAGGTGTTTATTCAGCTTAAAGGTTATTCATCAGGAAAACTGAGGAAGGAACTGAAATGGAGACCATGGAGGAATGATGCTTACTGGCTTGTTTCCTATGTCTTGATCCATATGGTTTGCTCAGATTGTTTTTTTCATACATCCCAGACACACTTTCCCTATGGATGGCACTACCTTGAATGGGCAGTGCAATCCTCCCAACCAATCTGATAGGACCAATTTCTCAATTGAAATTTCCTGATCCCAGATGTGTAATTTACATCCACATGACAAGGCAAAGAAAGCACATATAGATTTTTAAGTATGAGTAGAGAACACCAAGAGTTCTTAAAACTGACAGAGGGACAGTAGTGGTGAATATCTTTAATTCCAGCACTCAGGAGGCAGAGGCTGGCAGATCTATTGTTTCAAGGCAAGCTTGCTTAAAGACTGAATTCCAGGACAGTCAGGGTTACACCGAGAAACCCTGTCTGGGATGGAGGGGAATCAACAGTCTTCCAACCAGGGGAAGAGACCAGGATCTATGCTTGACATCTTCTCCTGATAGACTTTGTCAAAGGCTTCACATTGAGCCACTGTGAAGTGATTCTTCCAGTCTCCACAAAGGCCTGTCAAACACAGAAAGACAAGTTCCAGGAAACTGAACAAAAATCTCCAACATACAGCCAAGTGCGTCACAGTCTCACCTGATTGATCCAGTTAGTATCCAGAACAAAATGAGTCATCCTATAATTTTCTACTCCATACTAATCTCAATTGTCAAAACTACATTATCACACAAGGTACAGAACTTGAGCTAATATCAATGTGGCATTTGCAAGCATCAGAAATGCCACATGGAAAATCCTAGTCTTGAACATTTGAAGGAAAATTGAGGATGTTCTCAAAACTGAACTTCCATCTCACCACCCTCCAATGGAAAAATAACAACCACATGATAGAGTACCAGTTCATAAAATCACCATCAAAAGCATATGTCTTTAAACTATTCTTCCAACAAAGGTTGTATTAAAGTTAAGGGAAGTTTTACACAATGCTACATTCAGAAAATAAAAGCTCCCTAGAGAAATGGGTGTGTTCTATATCACTTTTCTCCATGTGAGATTTTTAAGCCGTTTTCACTCCATTGAAATACATAGATAGTCCACTGTCACAAACACTTCCTAATCCTACTACTACTTTAGTCAATATGAGCCATCAAGCACCACCAGTCTGGATCCCTGAACATCAGCAAAATATTCTCTACATCTGCAATTCTTTTTTTTATTTTATGAATGCTACATAAAATCACTGGAATCTATCCAAGTTGCTACATGTGTCAATAGGTTCAATTCCTGACAAATGTCATTCTATCATAAAGACACATGGATGTTTGGGTGTGTCATCTATTATAATCCCCCAAACCCTTTGAATTGGAAAGACTTGTTACTGTGACTCTATCTGAGGTTTCTTACAGACTTGTACAATGTGACTGAGACTGACTTGTCTAAGTGTATAGACAGGACTCATCCATTGCAAGGACAGAGTCACAGGGCATAGGTACACCTGACTCCTTCTGTGCTTAACCATGATTCTAAGGATCTCAATGGATTTGTGCACACATTCTACTGAAAAAAATGATGGAATCTGATGCTGACTTCAAGCACATCCATTTCCATGCCTCATGCTTTATGTAAACATTGAAATCCTACTCAATACTACAATACAAACTAGATGTTCTATCTTGTCTCACCCTTTCTCAGCAAATCGCAAAAGGAAGGCAGGCTTATCTTCTGAAATCTTTAGCATCATAGTATTGGACATCTTATTTTCCTTCATGACTGAAAAGGATGCATATCGAACAACAGATTCAAGTTGCTCTGGACTCAGATGTTTGCCCAAAAGTCGACACACTTTTTGTATGCTGGCTCTGAGATCCTGTGGGTGGAAAAGGAGTGATCATGAGAATAGAAAGAAGCACTGATGTTGTCAGAGTGCTTGGGTTCTCATCAAGGTGAACACTTCCTTAATGTTTAATAATATTGCATTTCAAATATCCTATATCAAGTATTTTACATATAAAATATGCAAATATACAAATATATTTACAAAATTTTAATATTCATTTAAGTTTATTACTTATATTTGATGTGTATACTATAGAATGTGCTATATAGTATGACATAAAATCGAATTTTATGCTAAATTTATACTACATAGTGTTTAATATATGTGTACGAAGCATGAACATGCAGTACCATCTGAGACCAGGAAAGGACACTGGATCCCTTTGGGTTGCAATGAGAGGTGTCTGAGTGGCATGAATTGGGTCCTCTGAAAAGGCAGCATGTATAGTTAACCATTTTACCATTCCTCTAGCCTCCACTTCACCAATTTTCATACTCTGCTTTATATTGTAAAAGTGTATAAAGGAGTCATGTAAAGAAAACCTATTCCTTAGTCAAGACTGACTGCAAGCCCTAGATTGGAGAAAATGTGTAGTGTGTTTGTGTTTGTGTGTGTGTGTGTGTGTGTGTGTGTGTGCATATGTGCATGTGTGCATGTGTGTATCCCAAGAGGCCAAACGAAGGTAGCAGATTTGTTACAGGCAGTTGTTAGATAAGTGGTATGGGTTTGGGAACCACACTCATGTCCTCAAGAAAAGCAGGAAATGCTCTGACATCCTCAGCCAACTTCAAGTCCATGGATTATTCTTTTCAAAACATAATTTAAGCATACAAAATGTAAGATTTCAGCATTTCACTTATCATACATATTATCATTTTACTGAGGTCATATTCACCCATCATTCTTTGTTGTGATATCTCATCCCTTCCTGGAAGTCCCCATCAGCTGAATTGTCCATCTTCGACTTTGCTCTGTGTGCCCACCACACTGCTAATCTAGTTTTCTTATGAGAATACATGTAATATTTTTCTACTCATGTACATTATGATCATTGTTACACTTCAATTCCTACTTTGTTTTGGCAAATTTTATTGGAAAAAGCAAGGCTCATGAGTCCACAATGTGAACTGGGTTGAAATTTGGAGGTGGTAAACAAATAGGCACTTTCTAAAAACACTGTATACCAGAAAATAAGCAGAATCTCAGCTGTCACAGTGTTACATCAGCTAATAGAAATGTAATCTATTACATTTGAAAAGGAGAAGGAGTTATATGAAAAACCACCACTTTATGGGGCTTTGTAATTGCTGCATATAATATATAGCTTACAATGGTAAGATGCAGGTTGGCCAGTCCTTAATTCTGAATTGGAACTTGAGCCTGGTACAGTCTCTGAAAGTCTATATGAAAGGTCCTGTTCCTAAATTTTAAGTTCAATAATGACTTTGATTGTCCATTGACTCCAGTTTGAAGGTATCAAGCTGACTGCTTTACAGGTGTTGATGTGGTCGTGATGTCAGGATAGAATCCACTGCCATAAATTCCATGCACTAACAACATTGAGCTTGAAATCAGAGCATGTGCCAGGCTAGTAAACTGAAGAAAAGCCTCCAGATTCTTACAGAAAATCTGAAGGAACATTTAGATGAAGCACATGTATTTAATAAGACATGACTAAAACTCATGAACTACACATTGCCAGTGGCCATGCCAGAGGAGCAGTCAGTTGCAATTGAAGGTCCAGGTCTGAGCCAAATAACAGAAGGCAATACTGTGATGGGCCAGTCTTGTTCAGGGAAGGTCACAGCACTGCAGACCCTGGAGTTTCTTTTGTTTCTGCTGTGCCTTTAAATGTTTGCTGCAGCTCTCTTTCTCTGGCATCTAGCATTGTGAGAGAGGATATGGGGAGATCTTCATTGCCTGTAATATAGTGTGTTTATTTCTTGGAAACTTTCCATTCTACTGGACATTTTTACCTGTGAATTGTCAAGAAAATGACAACTCCCTGAGCTGTACTGTTTAATAATTTTAATGATAGTAAATCCAGAGTTTTGGTGAATAAAAATAAATACAAAGATACTTCTCACAGCCATGATCTGTGAGTTTCACCTAAGGAGCTGCATGGATTGTAGCTCAAGATAAGGAAAGTGATTGAGTCCCAGTATCCCAGCTGGTTTAAATTCTTTTAATCTTAATGTTGGCAGATGTGTTCATAGGTCTCAGAGTGCATAAGAGATGAAACATATCTTTGAAAATAAGAAAGTTAGACTAAAACTTTAGGAAGGCACATAGTAAAATGTGAAACATTTTAAGGTAAGAGAACAAGAATAAAAGCAGCCCCAATTACAATTATTACTGGCTGACATACTCTCCTTGCTAGGTATGGCTGATGACCAAAGTTGATGATTAATTCCTTATATACCCACTTATACCCACCTTTGCCCTCAATCTCATGTCATCTCTCTCTCTCTCTCTCTCTCTCTCTCTCTCTATATATATATATATATATATATATATGCCCTAAAGTTTTAAAATAGATGTGGTTGATTTTTTTCATTTAAGGTTTGTTTTTCTTTCAAGATTTCTCATAAGATTAACTTTTACAATAAGTAAATAAAGATATTTACTCTCTATGACTGCAAGATGCAGCATGCCAGTAAAAACCCTGACAAGAAAACCTTGCTTGCCAAATGGTTAATCTGTTTCAAGTTGCTTGGATATGAATTTATGTTGGTTGTTGGAATACCTTTTTTCCACCTGCAATAAATAAAATGTTTAATCATGTGATGGTTATGAAAAACATGTTTTTACCTATATCCATTCACTTGAGAAATCGAGTGCAACTGTTTAGAGCATTGTATTGCCAGGAAGATGCTGTTGTGGTATAATAGATATGAAAAACTTGAGAGAACAGAGGTGAATAGAGAGAAAATAAAGAGGAGAATAAAGAAGGAAACAAAAGAGTTTGTGAGTGCCTTTTTCCCAAACCTCCTCAGATAGAAGAATTCATTTACCTTTGCCAAATCCATGGATTCCTGTCAAAGCCCTGTATTGCTGGAGGTTGGACACTAGACAGTGGTAATACGTCCCATGACATTCACTATTCTAGACTTTTGTCATTTTATTGTGCAGGTTGAAAGCTACTTTTTGCAGTTTTAGGAGAACAGTGAGTCACAGGGTGGGTTTGAACTTGTTAAGGTTATGTAGATAATGAAATGTTGTATTTTACACACCCTCCTTGTTTCAGTTTGATTTTCTGTTTCCATGAAAAAAATCATGAGCTATAACAACCTTGGGGAAGAGGGCTTTATCCAGATATGGGTTTTGAGCATCCTTAAGAGAAGCCAGGGAATCATCTTGAGGCAGGACCTGAAGCAGAGACCAAGGAATACTGCTTACAAACTTTCTACCTCTGGCTTGCTCAGCCAACTTTTTAAACAACCCAAGCCTACCTGCCTATGGATCTAGTGCCCAGAGTTGCTCAGCTCCCTTACATTGATCATTAATCAAGAAAAAGCTCCCAACAGACATCCAGTGTAGACATTTTCTCCATTAATGGTCATCTTTTCCAGGTATGCCAAGTTGACAAAGGATGCTCACTATGACAGTTTCCAAATGCCTTACTTGATTATTTACCCCTAGATAACTAGAAAGGAAAGAAGCAAAGGCAGATATGGGGAGTGCAGGAAGCCAAGGAAAGGGGAATTACCCATTGTAGCTCCTCATAGGACATTAGAAGGAAGTTCTCAGTGGTTCGTCTTGTCAACCATCCAAGAGTGTGATCAAACCAAGATCCATAAGTCACTGTAGAGATAGGGGAAAAAGGAAGTTACTACTTATTATCTTATGAATATTTATTCTTATTCCCCTAACTTTGAGGATGGTAATGGATGTCAAGCTGATACATCTAAATACAATTATGACATTGTATGAGATAGCTCATTTTTGGTTTCTTTAGAGGAAAAACATATACACAATTACTATCAACAGATTTAAAACATTTTAAACCTCATCTCATGTGTATGAATGTTTACTGCTGTGTATGTATGTATGTATGTATGTATGTATGTATGTATGTATCATTGCACATGGGGACAATGTTTGCATAGACAAGAAAAGGTCTTAGAATGTATTGGAATTGAATGTGAAGATGTAATTATATCACTAGACCAAAGTTAAATGATAAATTTGTGTTTATTGGTAAAAATTACACAGAAGAATACAATGAGCTGTGGAGCATTTCCCTGCTCTTCCTACCACATCCACTGACCCAACAGAAAGAGAACACAAAGGAAAGCCACACATCAAGCTCCTCTCTTTCTACTTACTTCCACCTAAATCCACACCCAAAGAGGTGTGGCCTCCATTTTAGGTCCACAGAGCAAGATGTTTACAATTCCCCTTTTAGTCTGAAGATGGATATTTTAAACCTGATATAAAAACTATATACAATGATAACAAATAGGAAATATACTCCAGGAAAAGGAAAGGTAAACATACACTAATTGAAACCTAGCATCAGCAAGAGCAGTCAAGTATGTATGTACAGGATCAGTGTAAATGCATGAGAGAGATTACTCTGAAAGAAGTCCTAATCTGGAAAGTCTAAATCTTGTCTATTTAAGATAAGACAGGATGTTAGGATGACTGTCTAATCTTCAACTTCATCAAAGACCTGAGAACATTAATAACAATTCTAGAGTAATCAGGAAGTGCATGTGTGTGATTTCCCTGTCAATTCTAGAGTTTCTATATTATCATTCTAGGGCCTTTGATATAATTGAAAACAGATAGATATGGTTTTCCTAAGTTATGATAAAGAATAAATTACATTTACAGACTTTAGACTCATAAAGATAGTATAGATGATGGAAGATGTTCTTTAAATCTTGCTAAATGTTAATGGACTAAATATTGTAACTATTATTCTTGCTTGATAGCTGTTTTCCTACATGGAATTGGAATTATGGATGGTTGAAAGTCATCTTATGCATACTGGGAACTGAATGTGGATTCTCTAAAAAAAAAGAAATTATGCTTAAACACTGAACCATATCAACAATCCTGGGTCTTTTAACTTCTAAGTAGAAAAGTGTTTTAAAAACAGCAGGATAAAATTCAAATGCCTTCAAAAATATTTTACCTAGCACTCATATATGTATTGAATAATCCGGAATAATCCGAAGAAAGACTAACAATTAATGAAATGTCTTGCTGCTTAAAGGCACTAGATTCAGAGCCTGATGAAGTTGTAGAGTCCTTGCAACACTCCAAATTACTGGAAGACACCAGATATGCAATTGCAGAAAGCAGTCTTACTTTCCAGAAAAAAACAGAATTATCTTCATTCCCAGGGGAGGGTAAAGCAGCCCGTTTTATGACTGCTCAGGGAGCTCTGCTTGAGATGAGTGTCTGCTCTGCTCAGGTCCCCAACTCACAACAGTGCCCATTGCTTGGATTTTCCTGGGCCTGATACATGCCTAGAGTAGACCCAAACCAACAGAAAGGAACACCCTGTGTCTGGCCACAACTCTGACTTAGCCTCCCTCAACCTCCTGCCCTCTGCTTGAAATGAGTGTGGGCTCCAGTTGGGGCCCAACTCCTGACATCCCCGTTCTTGGATATTCATGTCCCTGCCCTTTGCCTAGAGTGTCTCATATCTACCTGCATCCATCGGAGTATTGAACCTGCTTGAACACACTGGAAGACAACCTTAGACCCATATTCACCAGGAAAGGAAAAGACCCCACAAGCTCCCACTGGAAGAAGTGTTGGGTGATGACAGTATAAAATCACAGTCAACAACAGGAAACCAATATGATGGCTCCAGAGTCTAGGGACTCTATACCAGGAAGACCTACACTTCCCAACAGAGAAGAAACAGAAGAGAATGACCTTCTAAACAACCTCACGAAAATGATAGAGGTCCTCAAAAAAGAAATTAGAAAATCCCTGAAAGAAATAGAAGAAAAAGCAAACTAAAAAATGTAAGAAATCAACAAATCTCTTAAAGAAACCCAAGAAAAAACAATCAAATAGATGAAGGAAACAATCCAAACGGTTCAAAACTTGAAAACTGAAATAGAGACAATAAGGAAAAGACAAACTGAGGGAAGTTTGTAAATAGAAAAGCTGAGTAAATGACCAGGAACTGTAGGTGCAAGCATACCCAACAGAATACAACAGATGGGAGACAGAATATTGGGAATATTGGGGGATGATGATAAACTAGAGGAAGTTGATTCATTGTCCAAAAAATGCTTCACTCCAACAAATCCTTAACACAAAATATCCAGGAAATATGGAACATCACGAGAAGAACAAACCGAGGAATCATAGGTATAGAATAAGGCAAAGAAGCCCAGCTCAAAAAGTGCAGAAAACATATTCAACAAACTCTTACAAGATAACTTTCCCAACTTAAAGAAGGGCATGAGCATGAAAGTACAAGAACCAAACCCAACATCATATAGACTTGACCAAAAACCATTCCTCTTGCCACATAAGTGGCTGATGGAAGAAGAGGCAGACTCCCACGGCTAAGTATTGAGTTGAACTCAAGAAAGCCAGTAACAGAGAGGAAGGACTGACGACCAAAGGGATTAAGACTGGGCTGGTTTAACCCCCAGAAACAGCTGACCTGACAAAGGTTAACTTTTGATTCCCAGGCATTAGCCTGAGAATCCAGCATGGGACTGATCAAGACCCCCTGAATGTGGGTGTCAGTGCGGAGGCCTAGTTAATCTATTGAGCCTTAGGCAGTAGATCAGTACTCATCCCAAGTATACACATGGAATTTGGACTCCCATCTGAACTAAACTTAATCAAAAGAGATGAAGAAGGTCATTTCATATTCATCACAGGAAAAATCCTTAGGATGAAGTCTCAATTCTAAACATCTATGCTAAAAAAGCATAGCATAGCAACCATATTCATAAAAGAAACATTACTAAAATTCAAATCACACCATAAACCCCACACATTTAGTGAGAGACTTCAACATCCCATGCTCACCAATGGACTAGACTACCATACAGAATCTTAGCAAAGAAACATAGGAAGTAACAGAATTTTTGAAACAAATTGGTATTAAATACATCTATAGAACATTCCATTCAAAAACTCAAAAGATTATACCTTCTTCTCAGTGCCACATGAAACCTTCTCTAAAATTGACCACATACTTAGCAACAAGAAAACCTCAACAGATATAAAAAATTAGAATAAACTCCTGTATCTAGTAAAACCACCATGCCATAAAATTAGAATTTAACAACAACACAAATTGCAGAATCCCCACAAACTCATGGAAATTGAACAATGCTCAATTGTATGACTCCTGGGTTAAGGTAGAAAGAAAGAAATCAAAGACTTCCTAGAATTTAATGAAAACGAAGGCACAATATACCCAACTCTATGGGACACTCTGAAAACAGTGCTGAGAGGAATGTTCAAAGCACTATGTACCCACATGAAGAAACTGGAATTAGCCACAGTAGAGAATTAACAGAACACCAGAAAACTCTAGAACAAAAAGAGGCAAACATACCTAGAAGCAGTAGATGCCAGGAAATAGGCAATTTTGATATCTGCAATCAATATAGTTTAAACAAAGAGAACAATACAAAGAATCAATGAAGCAAAGAGTTGGGTCTTGGGAATGTCAATAAGATTGCCAAACCTCTATCCAACCTAACCAAAAGGCAGACGGAGAATGTGCAAATCAACAAACTCAGAAATGAGAAGAGGAACATAACAACAGACTCTGGGGAAATCCATAAAATCAGCAGGTCACACTTTGAAGCACTGTACTCAACTAAATTGGAAATTTTTAAGTAAATGGACAATTTTCTGGATAGATATCAATTACCAAAATTAAATCAAGTACAGATAAATAACTTAAATAGAGCTATAACCCATAACAAATTAGAAGCAGTCAGAAAAGTCTTCCAACCAAAAAAGTCAAGGTCCAGATGATTTCAGTGAAGAATTCTACCAGATATTCAAAGAAAAGCTAATACCAATACTCTTCAAATTGTTCGACACAATAGAAGCAGAGGGATCATTTCCAAAATGTTTTTCACAAGGTTACAATTACTTGTTACCCAAACCACACAAAGACACAACTAAAATAAAGAACTACAGACTAGTCTTTCTCATGAAAAAAGATGCAAAAACACTAAATAAAATACTGACAAATGGAAGCCAAGAACACATCAGAAAAATTATATACCATGGTCAAACAGGCTTCATCCCAGAGATGCAGGGATGGCTCAGCACATGAAAATCCTGCAGAGAAATGGTCCACTTCCAGCCACACTCAGGTCAGAAGGCAGAGTTGAGCTCTGGGTCCCCATCCTAGACCCAAATTCCTCCCGCATGCCTTCTCTCAGATACCCTGAACTTGGAAGCACAGCCAGGTCTACTCACTCCAGAGAAATGACCATGCCACCCAGAGCCTGCAGAGAAAGCTTGTCCTCTTCTGCCCACACTCAGGGTGGAGGGCAGAGGTGAGCTCTGGATCCCCATCTTAGACCTGAATTCCCTCCTGCATGCCTTTTCTCGGGTTTCCTGGCCTGGGGACCACAGCCATGTAGACATGCCCCTGACATATGACCAAACAACAAGAGCCTGCACAGAGAGTAGGTCCACTCCTGCCCACACTCAGGACAGAGGACAGAAAGCAGAGAGAAGAAGCCAGAGAGTGTTGGATTTGCTTGCACCCGCTGAAAGGAATACCTGGTCGCCAAACCACTAGGAGAGGAAGAGGCTCTTTCTACTCCCACTGAAGAAGTAATGGGAAA